CTTTTTGAAAATACTTTTATGATAAATATTTTGAGTTTTAAACCTTTGTCAGTCAAAGTCTGTTCTTTTATATAGGGCGGTTTCAGATTTTTACCTCGAGACTTCGCGTCACGTCGGTAAGCTACTTTTTCTCTAGAATAGTCGGTCGGTTTTTCGGGATCTTTATTAGCTTTTCGAATAACCTTTCCCTTTTGGGTTTTCGACATGCCATAGATAAGGCTATAAATTAATTTTGTCCTATTCTTGTGTTCTTGAAGGTAATTGTTCATTAATTCTCGATCAACGTCTAGATCAAAAGGATCTCTAACGTCTAAATGTCCGTTAATAATTTCAATTGGTTTTCGTTTCGTCACTGAATGTATGGACTGATTGTAGCCAAGGATTGCATAAGGCATCAAAGAATTAACATCCTTTTTGGAAATTGCAATGCAAGAGCTCTTAAATGTTCAGTTATAGTGGAGTGGAATCGTTCAATAGGTGAATTACTATTTGAATTTTTGGGAGTTGTAAAATGTAGCTTTATCTTATGGAGTTTTGCAAACTCTTTTATAAGGCGTTGTTGAACAGAGTACCAGAATTTGCAACAATTTGGATGGGCAAACCATGAAATGACATGAATTTGATCAAATTATCTACAACAGAGATAGCATCAGCTGCTTCGATTGGGAAGGCTTGCGCATATTTTGAAAAATTGTCAATTATTGTTAAAAATTTCTTATTGTTAGCTTGATATACATCTAAGTGAACAATTTGGAATGGCATTTTAGCTGTCGTGGTAATCTCAAATTCAATTCTAGGTGGATGTCTTTCATATTTGCCTTGCTGGCAAATATCGCAGGTATTAACGTATAACTTCACGTCATCATCAATGTGGGGCCAATAATATTTTCTTTTAATTTGGTTTACAGTCTCAATAATTCCTCGGTGATTAGTTTTGATCCCATAACGTTTGAAGTGTGAGTTTTCTGGGCATAATAGCTTTTTTAACAAAAATTTGATACTTGAAAACATTGATAGGTTTTTCTACAGGGTTAATTTCTTGAATGGGGCTTTCATCGTCTGAGTGAATAGTTACGTTTTCAACTCGTTCACTCAAGTCTAGCAAATTGCGTACTGTTTGTTCATCACCTACATTATTTTCTATAGACGTTTGGTCATCTGCAGGTTTTTCGGAAAAGTCTTTATTGAAGGTTTTCATGTATCGGATAAATGGGAACTCTTCTTCATCTTGGATTTATGATGTAGAAGGTTGTGGGTCAGTTTCAGTAGCGTGAATTTGAATACGAGAAAGTGCATCAACATTTTTATTTTCTTTACCTTTTTTGTATATAACTTCATACTCAAATTCGGATAATTTTAAGCGCCATCTTTGTAATCTAGAATTTGGTTCTTTTAAAGTCATTAACCACTGAAGCGGTTTGCAATCTGTTACAATTTTAAATTTTCGTCCAAAAAGATAATGTCTAAAATACTTAGTTCCATAAACTATTGCTAAACATTCTTTTTCAGTCGCACTGTAATTTTGTTCAGAATCGTTTAATGTTCTAGATGCATAAGCTATTGGTTTGTCAGAGCCAATAGGGCCTTGACAAAGTATAGCTGATACAGCAAAATTACTTGCGTCGGTAGTCAATATGAAGAGCTTTTCAAAATCCGGATATTGTAATAATGGTTCATTCGTTAAGAGATTCTTACAATGTTCAAAAGCATTGAGAAATTTTTCGTCATGTTTAATTTCTGCTCCTTTTTTCAAACATAGGGTGAAAGGGCGATTGATTTTTGCGAAGTCCTTAATGAACTTACGATAATAACCAATAAAACCTAAAAACTGTTTAATTTTAATTTTGTCGGGGTTTGGTTTTACTCCTTGCGATGTGACAATGTGACCAAGAAAAGCTGCTTCCTTTTTCAAAAATTCGGATTTATCTAACTGAACTTTGAGGTTTGTCTCACTTAATCTTTGGACAACCTTTTTCAATGATACAATGTGTTCTTGTAAAGAAGTAGAATAAATTATGATGTCATCCATATACACCATAGGGTTATCTAGTCCTCGCAAGACATTGTCCATAACACGCTGAAATGTGCTTGGTGCTCCTTTAAGACCAAAACTCATACGAAGGTATTCGTAATGACCTCCATCAACACTTAATGCTGTTTTTTGAATATCTTCCGGGGCTATTTCAATATGGTGGAAACCGCTAGCTAAATCCAAAGTTGTGAAGTAGTTACAACGACCTAATTTATCTAAAATGTCAGAAATACATGGAATGGGGTAGCGATCATCTATGGTCTTTTCGTTAACCTGTCGATAGTCAACCTCCATACGCCATTTATTTTCACCACTAGCATCAGGTTTTTTGGGAATGAGAAAAACTGGAGAATTCCAAGCTGAACTACTATGTCGAATAATATTCGGATCTAGGAGGGATCTAATTTGGCTTTGCATTTCGTTTTTGAGCATGTGTGGATAACGATACGATTTTGTATGAACAGGAATTTCATCTGTGGTCCTAATATGATGCTTAATTTGGTTTGTGAAAGTTAACGCATCACCCTCGTAATAGAATACGTCGGAGTAGGTTTGACACAATTTTAGAATATGAGTTTTTTCTTCATGATTGACATGGGATGTTCGTATCAGTTTACTGAGATCATGTCGCAACGGCGAAACTGATTCAGATGGTTTAATGATAGCGTGGAATAAAGTGTAATTGTTTGCGTCGAACGGAAATGAAACAATAGGCTCATACAAGGAAATTTCTTGATAAGTGTTACTAGGATTTTCTAGGTCAACTAGGGCATAACCGTTTATAGCATGAGTAAGCGTTTCCTTGATTACACAATCTCTAATTTTGGAATTTGGAATCAAAATTTCTCCATTATAAGTATCGACAGGAATTTTGGCTTGGGCCGCCGTGTGGGGCTCAATTTCTATGAAAAATAACAAACGATTTTTCAAATCATGAAATTTGATTGGAATTTTGGCGTTTTTGGTATGCAAAATAGAATTTCTAAGGTCAATATGCGAATTTAGAAGTTTCAAAATATCTAAACCAATCAGACCATCAAAATACTTGTGAAATTTGAACAAATGAAATTTTATAGGCTCACTAACATTGAGTTCTGAGAATTTTAGCACAATAGTCTCTCTTCGAATGCTGAAAAACTGAAGTTACTTCGAATGGTTCTTTATAAATACATTTTTGAAAATGCTATTGTGCAAGATCAGGATTTAAAAGTGATTTCGTTGCACCAGTATCTATAAGAAGCTTTAAAGGCGGATTTTTAATTTCAGTATAAGGTAACTCTGTTTTGTTATAGATCGTGTTTAAGTGTATTATGTCTCCTCTATCATGGGCACGGCCATCTGAAAATTTTGTTTTTCTTCATCAGGCTTTTGACCAGTTTCAGAAACATCATTTTGTGTCTCATCAGGGTTTTCGTAATATAGATCAGAACAGTCATACTGATTTTCACTATCCTGACAATATTCCCAGTAATAGTCATCGTAAGGGTTGTTTCCAAAATTTTTATCATAAGGATCACTCTCAACGTTATGTTATTCTTGAGAAGCAAAGTTCCTTGGGCCAAAAGGTCTAAAATAATTATTTTGGAAATTCTTATTTCTATTGATGCTACTAACACCACTCATAGGAGTAGGGCTGTAGGAAGGTCCTTGGTTAGGCGGATTACGCCAAACATTAACATTAGGTCTATTGCCAAAAAATTGTGCGTTTGTTGGAAATTTTTGTGGAAGAGGATTTTGTCTAGGTTGAATCGGAACTGGTCCTCTTGGGAATTGAGGCTGATAATTGAAATTTTGCTGAGGCCTAAATTGATTCATAGGCTGCATTTGAGGCTTAAACAAGTTTTGAAAATGTGGATTGGATGGAAGGGCAGGCTGAGGTGGCTTATTGAAATTTGAATGTGCACCAACCTTTTGTAAATATCTAATGTTATTATCTTCTAAAATATAAGCTTGAGCTTCTGCCAAATTTTTAGGTTTCATCGACCGAATCATGGAACTTTGTGGCTCCTTTAAACCTACTGAAAGTGTATGCAATGCATGACTATCATACAGTGCCTTTTTACTAGTTTTTTTGAAATGATCCAGCATGGTTACAACTCTAGAATAAAACTGGAAAGAACTTTCACTAGAATTTTGTCTAAGGGCAGTCATATCTGAGATAAGACTACTCTCGTTTCTTTGATCACCAAAATGAGCAATTAGCAAATTTTTGATGCTGTTCCAGTCTGTGGAACCGCTAAGAGAAAATACTTGCTCTGCAGCACCAGTCAATTTCGAGAAAATGCCATGCAGCAGTATTTTGTTTTGGACACATCCTTTGTCGTCAGTGTTCCAATAGTTATTTAATAAATCTGTGCTTATTTCTAAATATCTATATAGTCTACAGGGATTCCCATGAAATTCTGGGACAATTTGGAGTAATTTTATGTCGAACTGGGGGGCACTATTTCTACTGGGGGTCGTCATTATTATCTTTTCTATAGTGTCGTTTGCTTGTCTTACTTCTCTACTTCCTAATTCTAAGCTTGCTATGCGATTAGCGATTTGATCTGCACTATCACCTTCGAAAGGATGTACAGGTCGGGGTGAGTCACTCATGAAAAAATAAGGATACAATGAGCACTTACTGATAGGTCCAGTACTTCATACCGTTCTTGGCCTAGGTTCCTCAGGTGGACGTCTACTTCAACAGGACAAAGGGCACTTGTGGTCCAAATTCTTTCTTCTTTCTTCAGTCGTACCAGCTCGTCGCGGAGGTTCGCGATTCCCAATTAAGAGTTCGGACTCAAGGGCTAATCGGCGAAAATCCCTTTGAGAATCCTACTGCGGGCTGCGCCAATTATGTAGTCGGAACTTCAAACTTCGTTTTTAAAAAACTTTATTTGATTCCAAAAACCGAACTGGAATTACAGTGTGTGTGTTCGCTGTGACTGAGATTGAATGACTGCCTCATAATTAAGATACAATCGTTAATATAAACCAAAAGTGATGAGCTAGTAAAAAGGAATACAATGCAATTATTATATCAACTAATAAAGTGTTAAATGACAGCAACATAACTTGCGCCTCTGATTTAGTTTGAGGCAGGCACATATTTGAGTCTTGGTTTGAGTTATTACTTGTGCTATTAATACTATGTATAAAATTGATACTTAATACCTTCACTGCTGCGCGGGTAAACATTTTCTATGTCATAATTTGTAAATATGTATAAGTTCAACACTCATCAGGCGATACTTGAGTCTCTTTTTCACGTGAAAGTTAGTCCTGTCACAGAAACATTCTCGCTCTTTTCTTAGTTCACCTGTATATGTGACATATTCGAATTGACATGTTTTATAATTTCCAGGAAGAACATGAAGCTGTTTCTCTTCGGTTTTGCCTTAGTGGGGTGTGCCTTAGCTTTTCCTCAGAAGGAAGGTAGCGCGTATACCCAAGAGGCAATCAGGCAAGCTCAGAACACGTTGTTGATACCAAAAGATGCCCAAATACAAAAGGTAATCCAAAATTTCATATCATTTATTATAATATATGAAAAGCTGTTGGTATCGATCCTTCAGACGCTTTAAAATGAAAGTGTCGAACCTCTAGTGACGAAATCGTATAAGTTAGAAGAAACCAAGCCCTTTATGTTTACAAGGCAGTGTTTGTCGGTATCATAACGTTCTTTTTTTGATCGATTTGCCTACCAGTGGTTACCGACCTGACAAACCAATACATCGTAGGTACATTCTTTTCTTTGGGAAGAATATTCAAGTAGGTAGACAATTTACTAGAGGGGCTGGGTAGCCGAGTGGGTTTGAATCCCCACCTCGGAAGTCAATTTTGATTATAGATGTGTTTGTCTATATAGAAATACTACGCACAAGATCGATTGAAGATCAAAACAGGAACATCGGATTGCAGGAGCTCGTTGATTGAATAATTAGTTACCAGTAGATAGAATGTATTGTCTTTTTCACTAGTATCCATTACGATAAAATAACAGCTCAGAATACCACATATCGACAAATGACACATAATTCTGGGCGATCAGTCAACGCTAGGTAGACAGAACCGTATTCGTATTTTGTTTTGAAACAACTCTTTTATTTAGCAAAGTTCATTTGATTACAGAAAATAAAAACGCTACAAGCATGTTTTACTGGATTTACACCCGATTCATTATTGTCAACGTTACAGACTGATACAAATATGCCACCAGTTGATCAGCTGTTCACCCCAATAGAGATCCCAACGTGATTGATACTCGTGATATAGAGTTTAGAGTAGTACAGTGTTGGTACTACGGGGTCGGCAAAAAGCGCCCAACGTGACCTTCGTCTCCCCACCACTACTATTACTATTATACTAGCCAATTGGGTGTGCTTTCGTACATCGGAGCAGAAATACTATCTATATTGCGATGTGAATCATTCAGTTATTATTAAAATAGATATAAATTAGGTAATACAAAGAAATGGAAGTAAATCTCCATTAACGGTACAGCATTTGAACAATTCTGGATTAACTGTATAGGAAAATACGAAAAATTGTCTTTACGAAACAGTAGCAGTCTCGGAATACCTGATATTAGAAATAGGAAACACATTGCTTGAACTCTAAATAGGTGTGAGTTGTGAGATCTGAGCAGATCCTTGGATAAAAGCAAATAGCTTGTTAAACATTATACATATGGCAATTCGTGATATTATATGTAGATGCAATAAAAAGACTTAGAAGTTATTTAGTTAATATGTTGTAAATATATTTCTTGGTGCGTGCTGAGGCTCCTTAACAGAATCTCGTGACGCCAAAATGTGAAAGCGTAAAAGTACTTTTTATAACGCAATACTAATAGGATGATAACATAGTTTATCGAAAGCGAAAGATTAAAGTTCCTAGAGTTCACCTTGCAATAATTTATCGAAGTTCCTAATTAAAGCTGAGTTTTTTCTCTCCTAACAGGCTGCTGATGACAATGACTACGTCCCCCGTGTTTTTTTTTTGTTTTTTTTTTATACTCCAACTACCACGAAGGCCTAAGGCCTAAGACCCATTGGGTACCGTGGGGCTATAGGGGGATACATGGGAAAGGGGGGACGCCACACGGACTCTGGCGAGGGAACACGTGTGCATGCAACATGCACACATTCTGGCTCCGCCTACGAGAACAGCCGGGTGGTACCTCCGCGTTCGACAGTCAAAGACCATCTACCACCTACGGACAATCACAACATCCATAGCCAAGAGAAAAATGTCTCCTGGGACGGGACTCGAACCCGCACAGCGCACGGCGACTGATCAGGAGACCGAAGAGTCTACTACTGCGGCCACCGCTGCGGCCACCCTGTATATATATATATATATATATATATATATATAGGGTCGCCCATGAATGTGTGGACGGAATATTACTCATAAACAAACACTTTTTGAGAAAATCTATTAATGGGGAATTACCAATGGTATTTGACGGCACATTTCTAAAATATTGGCAATTATACAGGGTGTCCCAATTTCGACCTACATATCAAAGTTGTGATTTTTCAAACGGAATGCCTCCAGTTTTATTGCATATTTGGATAAACCAATTCAAAGGGAGAAAATTGATATAACATACTACGGGGTTTTGGTAATTAGCTACTGAGATGTAAGGTGTTTTGTCCAGAAAAACCGTCCACTTCGGCAACCCCTCAATCCGCCATTTTGAAATTTGAACTGCTGAATTGCACAACTTGCACAAATATACAGGGTAATGCATTTGAAATTTTTGAGAAAAAGTACAACTTGCGTTTTTGACCACCCTGTATGAGCAAAAATGGAAATTCGAAAAAGTAACAAATAAGATAAAAGCTGAGGTACGTAAGTTTTTTTTGATATAAAATTCAGCACATTTCTTACTATATTCCACTGCTCCACGTGATTCAAAACGTGCTCGTAGTGTGGAAAATGTTTCCGGCCTTGATGTCGCATATTAGGGTACCGTTGCTTATAAATGCGAAATGCTAGGAAACTATACTAAGTGACGTATAAATCCGAACACCCAGTTTAAATGGTTTTATTTTAATAAAAGTTGGTGAATGTATTTATCTTACTGTAAATAACAAGTGAAAAAATTTTCAGCCTTATCAGTTGGACATTCCGATTTTTATACTGCTTTTTTTTAATTCACTAACGCTCTAAAAATGAATATTTCAGCCGCAGTAAAGAATCAACGTTGGCGGATTGTGGTTCTTGACATCCTTTACGATCGGTTACGATGCCTAGAGTACGGAGACCTGTACGATTTCGTCAACTTAGTGAGTTTGATAGGGGCCGTATAGTGGGACTTCGGGAAGCTGGACTTTCTTTTCGGGCAATTGCAGTTAGAGTGCAAAGAAGTGTAGACACTGTGGTTAGGTGTTGTCAGGCATGGCTTCGAGAAGGCCGTACGCAAAGAGCAAGGGGCACTGGACGCCGCCGTAGAACAACAGACCGTGAAGATCGCCGCCTAAGATTATTGGCCTTAAGGGACCGTTTCTCCACTACCAGGTCCATTGCAAATGAATGGTTTGCAGAACACGGAAGACCTATTGGCACGCGAAGTGTTTACCCGACGAATGAGAAGTTTTGGCTTGTTTTCATACCGACCACACTGGGTCCTCCCTTTAACTCGAGAACACCGACGTAATCGCCTTGAGTGGTGCAGACAACGGTCACTCTGGGGTCAGGAATGGAACAGTATTGTCTTTAGTGTCGAGTCTCGATTTTGTTTAGGCATGCACGATGGTCGTGCCAGGGTTAGAAGGCGACGTAGTGAAAGGAGGAATCCACAGTTTTTTGTTGAAAGACATGTTCATCACACTGTCGGAGTTATGGTTTGGGGTGCTATAGCTTATGGTTCCAGGTCACCTTTAATCTTCATCAGAGGTAACATGAACGCGCAGCGTTATATCCACGAAGTTCTAGAACCCGATGGGGGGATGTTTTACCCTATCTTGACACCCTGGCAGATCCAACTTTCCAACAAGATAATGCCCGACCCCATGTTGCAAGAGTCACAATAGACTTCTTTCAACATAATGATGTCACATTGTTACCGCGGCCACCAAGATATCCCGACTTATCCCCAATTGAGCACGTGTGGGATATGATGGGTAGGAGATTGCTCAATTTGCAACGTCCTCCTCAGACTCTAGAAGCACTTCGAGAGGAGTTGGTGGTTGCCTGGAATGAGATACCACAGGAGGACATTGACCACCTGATCAGAAGCATGCCTAGGCGCGTTGGAGAATGCGTAGCACATCAGGGTGCATCCACACATTATTAAAGGTCAAAGGGCTTTAAAGCAGTGCAATCATTTTGAAATTTTTATCATTCACTTATTATGCTTCATTAAGTACTTATACAAAATTTTATTAAAATAAAACCATTTAAACTGGGTGTTCGGATTTATATGTCACTTAGTATATTTCTTTGAGCTTCGCCCAAAACGAACACCATATTCACCATTTCTTCTTTAAAAAAATTATTTTTCAAACACGTTTTTATTATAATGCTCACAAAGCTAATTTTGACAGTTTGTAACTACTCAACAATTTATTTCCAAGGATGATGCGATATTTTAGAGAATTAATCCGTTCCATAAAAGACGTGCTAATAACCGAAAAAATAGCTGAAAGACCCTTATGTGTCTAGTACAAAAAAAGCTTGTAAAAAATTGAATCCAAACTTGCACAAATATTCAGGGTGTCGCATTTGAAATTTTGAGAAAAACTACAGTTTGCGTTTTTGACCACCCTGTATGAGCAAAAATTAAAATTCGAAAAAGTAACAAATAAGATAAAATCTGAGGTGTGAATTTTTTTTTATACAAAATTTCAAAATGGCGGACTGAGGTGTTGCCGAAGTGGGGGGTTTTTCTATACAAAACACCTTGTATCTCAGTAGCTAATTACCAAAACCCCATAGTATGTCATATCAGTATTCTTCTTTTGGATTGGTTCATCCAAATATGCAATAAAATTCGAGGCATTCCATTTGAAAAAACACAACTTTGATATGTAGGTCGAAATTGGGACAGCCTGTTTAATGCCCTCAAATGTCGTGACGCCAAAATGTGAAAGCGTAAAAGTACTTTTTATAACGCAATACTAATAGGATGATAACATAGTTTATCGAAAGCGAAAGATTAAAGTTCCTAGAGTTCACCTTGCAATAATTTATCGAAGTTCCTAATTAAAGCTGAGTTTTTTCTCTCCTAACAGGCTGCTGATGACAATGACTACGTCCCCCGTGTTTTTTTTTGTTTTTTTTTTATACTCCAACTACCACGAAGGCCTAAGGCCTAAGACCCATTGGGTACCGTGGGGCTATAGGGGGATACATGGGAAAGGGGGGACGCCACACGGACTCTGGCGAGGGAACACGTGTGCATGCAACATGCACACATTCTGGCTCCGCCTACGAGAACAGCCGGGTGGTACCTCCGCGTTCGACAGTCAAAGACCATCTACCACCTACGGACAATCACAAC